GTTACAATTACATATTTACATATATTATTCATATATTATTTAGTGACACATTACCACACTAGAGGGCGGAAATATAGCGCTGATCGCTTTTAAATTTTCCATGACGATCGATATGGTCAAGGACAACAGCTATAATTTTAGGTGATTATCAGATAATAATTTTGGCATGAATTGGACCAAAAACTTAATTTTTTGTGTTTTTTTCGAGTCGATCTCTAGGCCACAATTGAATGTCGAACACAAACCACCGTGAAGGCAATCTAGACAAGTAATTACAATTGCTGTACTGAATATTAGTAATATTTGGAATATATGTTAGTGTAAGGAAGAGGTGATGTTTATTTCTAATCGGGCAACTATCACGAAATATTGCCCAGTCTCGGAATAAAAATCCGCAGAAAGTTAGAGTTCCATGGTAGTTGTGTAGGGTATCATATGGTCGACCCCGTCCGACTATACTGCTCCGCAAACTGGTTTTACTTTGTAGTTTTAATCATTTTGATGACTTTTTTTTGGAAAATTAGGCTGGTATTACAATATTAAATTAAACTAGTCGGCGTTGATCTCATATATACAACCTTCGGAATGGCCTATATATGCATGTCGAGCCTGGTCCCTAACAAACACTTCCCATTGTTATATTTATTTATGGGTATTTTATATAAAGAGGGTCTTTGACAGCTCTATATGCTAAGAACTCGGTGGTATATAGAAGTTCCGCAGGAGTAATATACATACATAACTTCCATAGTTCATTTAGACAGAAAAGTATGTAGGATCGTCTTTAAGTAGAATACCTATTGTTATTGATATATGACCTTTTATGGCCCTTCTGTAGAACTCTTTAAACAGTTTTTCTATTAATAAAATAGCATATATAATATTATATACAAAAAAATTATTATACATATCCCTACGTGAAATCAACTGAATGAATTTCTTTACACACAGAAGACTATTACATTTAATAATTTAATAGATATCATTCAAACATTCAAAAGTACATACTTCCGTACTCCTCCGATTTGTTGTCTTCTCATGTGTTTATTTTATTCCATTGTTTATTTACATTAAGGTTGTAAACAATTACCACCGCCGAGCGATTAAATTCATTCATAACAGCAGGGAAGTGGGTCATTTTCATTTTCCGATACAAATTGAATTGAAATATTTTAACAAATAAACAGAATGTTGTCGGAATTGTTTACCTCTCTCTCTCTTTCTCTCCGCCTTCCCCTGACTGTCTGTCATTACTGCGATACAATTCACATGGAAATATTGCCATTTATTTAATCAATATGAATGCAAATAAAATACAAACATATTGTCGACGAACTATAGACGCTATGGGGAGGCAAGTGCCGAATGGTATGGTTCCATCAATTGGGCATATGAATTGTATATTAAAATTGATTAAGAATCAAATTGTCCAAAGCAATTGGTTTGATATTACATATCGAATTGTTTGATGATATTAATATGTACAAATGATTGCTTACATTGTGAATAGTTGTCGGCGGATATTCTGAAGACATATGTCAATATCGGTTAGAAATGTACCTGGAGACTTTTGGATTCTCTGGAAGACAATTTAGAGGTCTTCCACTATATACAATGTTTTTACTCCGATGGGGTGGCAATCGAATCAATTAAATGTACCTGGAATATATGATGATCTTCTGATTAAAGGGCCTCCTGCATATCTTCCATATTTTGGAGAGATTTTAGTGGTCCATGGAAGGCTATTAAGAAGCCATCCACCATATAGTTTTTCTACTCCAATACCTTAAGAAAATCCTACGAAATATCTTTGGAGTATATGCTGAATATATACCTAAAGTTAAATACTATGGAGACTCTAGAAGATCTTCCACGCACTGGATACTTCTCGGTGGTCTATGGAAGGTTATTCCTCTATATAAAATCTATCTATACTGGTATACCTCATAACTATTATTATTATCAGAAAATCTATAAAAACAAGAATGAGATTTGTTAAGTCGTGGATTTATAAAAAAACCAGTAAGGAAAGTAGTAAAGTCGGACTGGGCCGACTATATGATACCCTTCACCACTTTGAGCATATTCAACAGATGAAATAGAAGCTATATCTAAATCTGAACCGATTTCAACGATTTCAGGAAACTTAACACACATCATTCCAGACCTCATCCATAACGCAGTGCCAAATTTCGTGCAAATCGAAAGATATATAGGGACTTTGGTAGACCATTTACATTAAATCGGACGAAAATATATATAGGAGCTATATCTAAATCTGAACCGATTTTCAGGAAACTTAACACACACCATTCTATAACTAATTCATTACGCTGTGCCAACTTTGGTGCAAATCGAAAGATATATAGGGACATTGGTGCTCCATTCAGATTAAATCGGATGAAAATATATATGGGAGCTATATCTAAATCTGGACCGATTTTCAGGAAACTTAACACACACCATTATATTCCTAATTGATTACGATGTGCCAACTTTCGTGCAAATCGAAAGATATATAGGGACTTCGGTGCACCATTTAAATTAAATCGGACGAAAATATATATGGGAGCTATATCTAAATCTGAACCGATTTTCAGGAAACTTAACACACATCATTCTATACCTAATTCAGTACGCTATGCCAAATTTCGTGGAAATCGAAAGATATATAGGTACTTTGGTGCCACGTTTACCTTAAATCGGACGAAAATATATATGGGAGCTATATCTAAATCTGAACCGATTTTCACGAAACTCAGCACACACCATTATGGACCTAATTCAGTACACTATGCCAAATTTCGTGCAAATCGAATGATATATAGGTACTTTGGTGCCTATATCGGGCGAAAATATATATGGGAGCTATATCTAAATCTGACCCGATTTTCACGAAACTCAGCACACATCATTTTCGACCTCATTCAGTACGCTATGCCAAATTTCGTGCAAATCGAATGATATATAGGTACTTTGGTGCCTATATCGGGTGAAAATATATATGGGAGCTATATCTAAATCTGAACCGATTTTTCCCAATTTCAATAGGGTTCGTCCTTGGGCCAAATAAGTGACCTATGCCAAATTTCATCCAAATCGGATCAAAAATGCGACCTGTACTTTGTTCACAAAAATACATGGACGGACAGACGGACGGACGGACAGACGGACGGACAGACGGACATGCGTAAATCGACTCAGAAAGTGATTCTATGCATATTCTCAAAAGGAACCATGTGCCTATCTCGTTTCCTTTTGCCTGTTACAAACATATGCACAAAGACATAATACCCTGTACCACAGTGTGGTGAAGGGTATAAAAACTCTAGGAAATCATAAGAATACCATAATATAAAAATACCATCTTCTAAAGACGACCTAAAAATTAACGCTAAAGGATCTCATGAAGAAGATCAATTGGAAATCTTCTATCTATAAAATGTTTTTTTTTTTTTTTTTTTTTTTTTTGAAGACAATATCCAAATGAGACCTATTGAATGGTTTATAAAAGATTTCTAATAGACCACATAAAAGTTATCATTATGGTAATTTGGAATAAATAGAGAATTTTTTTTTTTTTTTTTTTTGTCAATTTTATAGCCAACGTTTTTCTGGAGGATACATTTTCTATACATGAATCATCGGATATATTATACATTTAATTCTGTACTTCATGTTTAACTGACCTCTTTCAGATATTTAACTACAGACATTCGTACATGATTTCTACAAGGCCTTTTGGCTATAGAGTCTATTTTCTTTGCAGAATATTCAGAGAATGTCTTGAACAGTGGCACCGACGTTGCCAGGGCACTGTGGGCGAAATGGACGATATAGCGTCGTTTAATTCAATTTTCAAAGTGTTTAATTGGGCCAAAATTGTGTCTCTATCGATTACTACTATCCCACTGATCTAATATATCGATTCTATTCTGATTGATATGATCTAGTTGAACAGCTGTGAGCTGTCAAACACAACATATGTTTCAGCCTATGTTAACTAAGCTTCAACACGTGTTTTCTTTGCATTGCCAAATTTTCTCTAAAGTAGCATTTGTCTCAATAAGGTGAATGAAAAGTTGATTTATTTATTGTTAGAGGTATGTATTAACTAAAAAAAAATTAGTTTGTGACCTGTGCTTACGTGTTGTAGAAAAAATATAGTTCAAGTGTACTATACCACTCATCTGCTTGAAAAAATCCAAAGTAAGACTTCCGTAGACCGGAACTTCTGATATTCGTGTGTATTCGCGCTAGAATATGGTTTTTTAAATTACTATGTCGATTTGTGATTGTAAAATGTCCAAATGATCTGCAGCCACCTGCAACTTTACATGATATTGCATTTTTTAGGAAAAATGTCAATGCTCAGACGAGAAGTTTATTTACTATGGCGCAACGAGCCTGTGCGTACTAAAAGAAATTCTGTCATTGAAACTCATATATTTAATAATATTATTAATATCAACATGTGCGATGCTAATAAAGTTCTTCTAATAAACAAAAAAATAGAAAATTTGTAGCAAAATTGGCTGAGAAATGGAAATTTGACAATAGAAGCCGTTACAAATTTAAAGAAAACAACAAGGAGTGGTTAGACGGATAACTTTTATTAGTTAATCCACTGACTAATCGTGGAACACCCGATAAGAAGTTTGACGAATGTTCCAACAAAACGAAACTAAAATGTTATCCAAATGGAGTCCAATTTATGAACTATTCAGCTCAAGTGCCTTTACAAGATATGGTAGATCATATTGTTACGCGCCTTGAAGAAGCTCATTTTTCTATCAGAATTTAATGTTGCTGAACGGAGTGAGCAGAATCTCATTTCTTGCGGGCTCAAAATCGATATTGAATCTTTTATGGAATATGCTTTACAGAACGCAGAACTTTTTATCATACTTTATCCTTGGTTTTATATGCCGTGTTCCATACATAAAATCTTAATACATGGAGCCGATATAATTAAAGTATCACCACTTCAATTAGGAAAAATGAAATGGAAGCTCGGCGAAGATTACCGCAATTTCCGTGAGCATCATACGCGAAAGGCATCCCGATTAAATACAATGAAATACTTAATGCATGCGCTTTTGTGTTAATCAGATCCCTTGATTTCAAATTTACGCAAACCACAAGGCAACCAAAAAAAAGAAAGATTACAACTTTTGTCAGAACATTGTGTATCCAAATCGGAATAAGAAACTATTATTACAATAGTAATAATAGTTTCTTATTTCGATTTGTATTTTTTCTTTTTTTTTGATTTATAATTAATTAAATTTTTGTTATGAACTGTATGAAGTCTTAATAAGGCCAAAAATATTATTAAAAAATTAATAAAAAAATGTTTAAAAAATGTTTTTATTATTAAAGTTTAATATATTCTTAGCCCCAAAGAATGAGAAACATTAAATATACTAACTTTATCATGTTTTCCTGAATGAAATAAACAATGACTAAAAAATGAAAAAAAATACAACTTTAAAAAAAAAAAATATATATATATATATATATAAATACATTAAAAAAAAAAACTTTTTGTGCTTAACTCTGTAGCTTAATCTTTTTTCAACTAAAAAAAATATTACAAAAAATAAAATACAAAATCCCTAAGCGCTATTAATTAAACGCCGCTAGATGAGCCTTTTCGCCCACTGTGCAGGGGTGGGGGGGTGATTTGAACCAAACTTTGACACCCTAATATTTTAACTAAACCTGTATAATGTTACAAGATGGTACTTATCGGTCCACTCTTTCTAGCTCCTCCCCTACAAAGGGTGAATATTTTGAAAGCTTTCTATATAAAAAATAAAGCAATTATATACGCGGAATTCTCAAATTATGTATTTGCAGATGTTTCTACTTTCAAAGTACTTTTGACCGCAGTTTTATTGGGCGGATTTGAACACAGCTGGTCTCAGTAGATTCAGCACGTAAAAAAACTAAAATCACGCGGGGTTAACCCAATAAATAGATTTTTTATAAAAATGTTCTTGAGATATACATCAATCGAAGTGAAATCACGAGTCCTACGATCCTATAATAAGTTTAGGGCTTCAACTAGCTCGTCCGAGAACAGGGAAATTTCGGCTTCAAAAAGTCAGCATCCGGCTTAGGTGAATGCGGTGGAAATATCAAAAAATCATACATTACAACTATATTGCCAATATGGTGTTCTTCAATTCAGTCTCTAAATGGTGTATTTTAGTCATAAATTAGCAAAAGACAAAAAAAATTGTTGGCTTCAGCATATTTTTACCCACTTTTACACCCTCGATCGTTGTGTGTTTATTTTTTCAAAATAATCGCTTCTGACCCCATGAAGTACATATATTCTTGATCAGTGTAAAATTCTAAGACGATCTAGCCATGTCCATCAGTCTGTTGTATTCACTCTAGCATCTGCAGAAACTGAGCTAGCTGTCCAAAAATTTGCCCAGAACTGCCAGAGCTATATCAGTCGACATGTAGGCATATCCCCCATATAACGGTACCTCCAATTTTCTCTATTTTGAACCGAATTAGCTGTTATTTGATATTTTGGGTTCTCATTATTAAATGTATGTATCAAAAATTTATACAATAAAAAGTTCAGTATGTTGGAAATTATGGACAAGTCTTTTAACCAATTTTGCTGTAATTATACCCTTCACCACACTGTGGTACAGGGTATTATGTCTTTGTACATATGATTGTAATGTATATATTTTCTTCCGATTTTAGGTAATTGGTCACGAATTGGCATAGGGTACTGAATTAATTCTAGATTGATGTTGCTAAACTTCGTGAAAAGATCCATAGCCGATTGAAACAACGTACTGAAACAAACATATGTAGAATATACCCAAAGTGGTGAAGGGCATCATATAGTCGGCCCAGTCCGACTTTACTACTTTCCTGACAGTTTTTTTTGGGATTTTAATTGGCGGATAATCCCCCTACCAAAAATGGTCAATATTGGTCCACTTTTTACGGTAGCTCTCATGTAACGGTACCTCGTATTTTGAGCATTGTTAAAATATTTTTTAACCGAATCGGCTGTACTTTGATATTTTGGGTTTACCAAAATGTATTTACCAAAAATTATTAACATTGGTCCTCGTTTAAGTGTGGCCCCTATTACGGCCATCCTCCAATTTACAGTATGTTCAGGGTTATTGGATATTTTTTAACACGTTAATAAAGTGAATTTTGAAAATAAGTGTATGCATAGTAAAAAAATATAATGATGTGATTTTTTAATCCTGGTCGTTAAAATTCTATAACGTTTAAGAATTGAATCACTCAATTTTTATTTATTCATCACATTTATTTGCAATGGTTCTTAGCATGAATTTTATAGAAAATAGTATGAAAACGGAAAAGCTCTTTGAAACGAATTTCCTTTATAAATCCTTAAAAGTCGTAGAAATATTCAATAGCTTACGATGGTGTAGGAAAACTCGAGAAAAATATATTTTTGGTTCTCAGTGGGAAAGTCTGCAATATCTTCAAGAGTTGTTGAGATAAGTTCGAATTAAATAAAAAAACAAAATTCAATTTTTTCAGAAATATTCCGGATATATATATGAACTTCTTCTTACTTATTTTGATAAAATATTCATGGATGATATCTATTTAAAATATTATATCCCTTTCGTTTCAAACAACAAATCAATTCACTTCTCCTCTCTCCTCTTTTCAGATCATCACGTGCACTTTGATGTCACAAATCTAAAAGATGATTTCGAAAATGACAGCTGTGTTACATATCAGCGTGCCGGCGATACAATTGTTGTCAGCCTGGGCTTTCTACAGATCAATCACCGCTATACAATCGACTTGAAATTACCCTGCAACTTATTTGGCGATGTGAGCAGTACACAATTTAAACCGGATGTTTCAACAGTTCCTAATCTACATTGCCGGATAACAGAATTTTCTGGCGTCAAGCATGATGAACACGACTTCTATGAAATGAAAATTGAATTCTTCGCGTACAAGGAGAAATTAATGCGTGAAACACTGCACATTGTCAATTCCAATGATGACAAGGAGGTGCTGAAGTTGGTTATTGCCGCCCGGGTACTGGGCAAGGGGAAGGGAACACCGATGCTGCGTACTGGCATACACTGCATAGGTGTGGAGAAAGATGAAGAATCGGAGGCTTCTGATTTTCCAGGTTTCAGCAAGGGTTCATAAATGCCAAAGTGTTGTGATGACGATGAAGGAGGCCATTTTTTGTCTGCCGATGCATTCATAGATAATGCAAAAGCTTTGATTAATTAATTAATTAATTTTTATTGAATAATATTTGAATTTTTAAATATATACATATAACTAATTTTTGTTTTCTTTGCCTAGTTTGTAAGTAATCCTTTTTAAGAGTGGCATTTCTTTGACTAAACTCGATTGTGCCTATGTTCTAAAACCCAAAAAAAAAAAAACGAATAAAATCCCATAAACGTTTATTGTAACATTTTACTGAAACAAATCACAAAACGAAACCATATAATTAGTATTCTATCAAATGTATTGTTATTAACTCTCATTGTGAGTATCTGACCAAATTGAAAAAAAAAAAAAATAAAAAATGCCAGACATTTATAACTTAAGCATTTGTTTAATATAATATATTTCCCAAACTCACTCTCTCTCTCTCAGTCATGTTATTTTCCCTTTAAAAAACATTAATGTATTTTATAATAAAAATTGAAACGCCAAAATTGTCAATCTCTTCTTTGATTGTAAACAAGTGAAAATAAATTACATACAGACTAAACAAGAAGCTATTTTGGGAACAACTGAATATTTAAATGTAATTAAATATAATTATAATATAAAATTAGTTTGTTTTTAATATTATTTGAAATATTCAAATTTTTTATTTTAATCAAATACTTTAAACTCTGTAAGTTTTTGTTTTTTTTTTTAATAAATATTAAAAATAAATTAATGCTTATGCTATGTAATTTTTAATGAAACATTGCAATAAAAATGGTGGGAAACGAAAATAAAATTGTTAAGACGTAAATTTATATATAAAAATTATGACACTGTTACCACACTGTTGTAAAATGTGAAATATGTTTTTGTGCATTTGCAAACAAGATATAATCCTAGTAAGCTTATATGACATCTTACTGTTCATGTATTTTTGTCATTAATGTAAAGTACACATTTTTTTATTACGGAATTTGGAATTCAGATGAAATTTGAGGCCAGTTATTTATTAGGAAAGTACACTTATATTTTCACACCTACTACAACCTTTAACATTCTGTGGGGCCAAATTCGAATCCAGGCTAAATTTAATATTGAACCGAGTTAGAATATTTAGAATTTTTTTTACAAATTTTTATTGATCGATCATCATGGTTATTTGTGAGCCAGAATCCTACATAAACACCTCTTAAAGAACGATATATGGGTGTGGCAGAATCACAATTTTTATACCCTTCACCACACTGTGGTACAGGGTATTATGTCTATGTGCATATGTTTGTAACAGGCAAAATGAAACGAGATAGACACATGGTTTCTTTTGAGAATATGCATGGAATTGGATGAAATTTGGCACATCTCATTCATTTGGCCCAAGGACGAACCCTATTTAAATTGGAAAAAAAATCGGCTCAGATTTAGATATAGCTCCCATATATATTTTCGTCCGATTTAAGGTAAATCGTGCACCAAAGTCCCTATATATCTTGCGATGTAGACAGCGTACTGAATTAAGCCTAGAATGATGTGTGCGAAGTTTCATAAATATCGGTTCAGATTTAGATATAGCTCCCATATATATTTTCGTCCGATTTAAGGGAAATGGTGCACCCAAGACCCTATATATCTTTCTATTTGCACGAAATTTGGCACAACGTTCCGAATTGGATCTGGAGTCATATCTGCCAAGTTTCGTGGAAATCGGTTCAGATTTGGATATAGCTCACATACATATTCTCGTCCGATTTTGTGTAAAAGGTGTACCAGAGATTTGGCATAGCCGGTTCAGATTTAGATATAGCTCCCATATATATTTTCGTCCGATTTAAGGGAAATGGTGCACCCAAGACCCTATATATCTTTCTATTTGCACGAAATTTGGCACAGCGTTCCGAATTGGATCTGGAGTCATATCTGCCAAGTTTCGTGGAAATCGGTTCAGATTTGGATATAGCTCGCATACATATTCTCGTCCGATTTTGTGTAAAAGGTGTACCAGAGCCTCTACATTTCATTCGATTTGCACGAAATTTGTATAGCGTACTGAATTGCTATGCTATAAATCGATTTACCCAAATTTGTCCCATTGAAATTTAGCATAGGTTGCAGAAAAGCATGTATATGGATTCATGTTAGTCGGTTCATTTATTGATAAAGATAAAATCAAAATGAAAAATATTTTATTAAAATCTTGAATTTAACATATTTTGAGTTTCTGTATAAATATAAAAAGAAGCTCCCAACAAGTAAAAAAGTTTCACGCGGTTTTGCCGTCAAATGGTCAGAGGTCTACGAAATTTCACATAGATTTTACTTCGATTTATATGTGATGCTTGTTTTTATTACAGAGTTGACCAGAACATGTTACGATGTGCAAACAATGTAAGCTAAACATACTACAATGTGTAAAGTTCCGATGAATCTGGATATTCCGTACGCTTCATATAAGACTCACAAGTTTTCAAAACGATAATTTCCATCTTTGAACTTGACTTAGAGTTGGTAGAAATATACGATTTCCAGAGTTTCAGTAAAATCGGACATTTCATTTTAAATTCAACAGCTGTAATTCTGTTTTGGTAAATTACACCGATATTCAGTGCACAAAATTTGATGAAAATATATATTTTTCAATTTCGATTTTTATTATTATTCAATGAATAATATAAATTATTTTTGGTAATAATATTTGAATATACAATGTACTAAGTCAATTTACAACAAAAAAATACAAATAGTAATACAATATAGAAAAACAAAAAAAAACAAGAACAACACAGTATAAATATATGTATTTATATTAAGAACATTATCGTATACTAGGGCATGTATACTAAAATCTATATAACATTTATAAGTGTTTTTATTGAATTTTCAAACAAACTTTTTTGAATGAAATCGACTTGTTTTTAATTTCGCATTTTAAAAAAAAATGCCCTAGTATACATGTGTTCATTTGTAATTCTCCCAAATATATACCACAATAACTATTGCACCTGATATATACACAACATATGCATGTAACTTTTATCCAAATTTAAAGAGAAAAAAACAATTCCATACATATTTATAATCCGATCAAAATTGTATTTAAAAGCATTACGTGAAAATCCATTGTAAATATTATTTTTCTAATTATCTGGCTACAATAAACCAACCACTATTGTCTTATAAACTTCTTAATAATTATGTTTGTTTTATTTATATAGAGATTAAATCAACGTTATTTAAATATTTGCAATTAAATAACTCTAAATACGGCTGGAGATGTATCTGTGGACATGTTTTGTATTTATTGACGTCAAATTACAGAAGTTGCTTTATAAAACAGTTATCATTGTGCTAATAGTCGTTATATATATAGTCTCGATGAGGCTGGATTTTAGTTTATTTATTATTTATTTTTTTTATTTATTTATTTATTAACTTTTTTAATTTTTTTTTTTTGGAAAACAATTTATTATTAATTCTCTTTTCATCGAATTTTTGTACTATTACCAAAAAAATTGGAGTAACATCTAATTGTGCCCAGTCATTTCTAAGCTTTGAACCTAAAGCCTTAATCCAGAGAAGTATTAATTCGCAGCCCAATTATCATTTCTTATCCGACTCCATTGTCATTAATCGTTAAACTCGTTCGTAAAAGGAAACAAAATTGTTATTGTTTGTTTGGATAATTGTATAACAATATATAAATTTGTTTTGTTTGTGTGTGTGTGTTACAAATATTTAATTGTGTCTCACAACATAATTATTTCTTTTTATGCTTAATTAAATTTGCGCAGTCTTAACTCTAATTGTATTAACAATATATAAATTTGTTTTGTTTGTGACAAAATATAAATATAGATAAGCAAAAAATAAAGATACTTTACAAAAAATAAAATAATAAATCAAATAAAACAATAATATGTAAAACATATTTAAAAACAAGACAAGGAAAATACCATCTCCGGTTTTATGT